TGCACAAATCAAAGTCAATTTGTTTTAAAGGCGGGTGGTGAGCCAGCTCATTGATTAGAAACGACTGGGTCATGAAAGATCAATCCAATTCTTTCAGTATTCTGTACAGTGATTGCTGTCTGCTTTCATCCCCTGCTCCGTATCGCAGTCCCCATTCAATTTAATATAGGAAAAAAAAAAATTACCCAACCTTATAATTTTTCTTAATTGTTATCGATGTAGTTTACTTCTTTTAATCAAATCTTTATAATTTGATTCCTTGAATATCTTAATCTCATAAGATTAAAATTATTAATGAAAGATTAACCTTTCTAAAATAAAATTACTTTTAAATTTTTTATAAAATTTGATTTAATACTTTTTAATAAAAAAATTGATAAATATGTACTGGTAATTACTTTGAATTTTCTTGAGGACTTATCTGACATGCTTTTTTGTACAATTACATTCTTGAGCTAAACAAAATAATAAAGCATAGATACTAGTACTTAAATAGAAGTTGTTAATAACAGACATATAATTATTAATATAGAAAGTATAGTTTTTAATTTAGTTAGGCAATAACAAGTATATTTTTTATATTAACAACTTTAACTTATTATGATTAACAACTAATATTAACAACACAGCTCGTCATAATTTCAATTTAATCCTGCAATAATAATTATATTTTTTATATTAGCAACTTTAGCCTAGATTTTAACAACTACGTTTTTTATTATTTTGTAAAGAGTTGGAGATATAATTTTGAAAAAAAATGACAAGATGAAAACATTATGACAAAAAAAAACATTATTACCCTTCCTTTTAGCAAGAATGGCATTAAGGGTCTTAAAAACAGACTTTATTATAATTTAGACCTAAATGAATCTGATATTGCTCTGCAGGCCTTGAGACCCTTATTGCCAATTTTCTTGAGACCAAAAGTATGATTTTACCCTTTGTTTGATTTGAATTCAGAACCTGCATGAACTCTCAAAATAACGAAATAGATCATGCACTATATAATATCCACTATGCATAATACGATGTCCATGTGTGCTGAACAAAAAATTCATACATTTTCAGTATTTTACTAGCCTAGGCTATAACAAAATGATGTTAGGCAGACCATGCATGACACAACATCCACTATACACAAGACAATGTCCACGCATGCTCAATAAAAAGTCTATGTATTTTTAATATTAAGAAGGATAATTACATCATAAATGAATAATTTCATGTTGGTATTAGCCTAGGTATTAAAACAAGTACCAACATGAAATTTGACAAAATATTTCAAGTTTGATATATACAAAAAGTTAGCCACTATGTTAAAAATATCTAACAGTTGCTTCTCCATATACAAACAAAAAACATTTGTGATTCTCACTTACCCAAAAAATATTATTTGAAAATGTTTTCATATACATAATTATAGTTGCTTGTGTACACCAAAGAAGTACAATGTAACCACATCTTATGCTGGGTTAGGATTCTTGCATGTCTTACGACTGTGTCTGGCCTTCCCACATTTTGAACAATGATAAATCTTCTTATCTTGAAAGACTCTATCTTCCTTGTTCGTGACTTTCCAGGAGGATGGCTAGTTAAAGACGGTTGTAAGAAAAAAAGTTTGTGATATATTCTTATCTGAAAGTCCATGTGATTTCAATTTATCATTATGTTAGGTTTAACAAAATACTAAAGTTAGGCAAATAATACATAACACAATATTCACTATGCACAATATAAGGTTCATTTATTCTCAACTAAAAGTCCACTTTATCAGTAGGATAGGCTTGACAAAATACACAAGTAAGCAAACAATGTACAACATAATATCCACTATGCATAACATGAGGTTCATATATTCTCAACTAAAAGTTCATGCGATTCTACTTTATCAGTATGCTAGGCTTAACAAAATGCACAAATAGGTAAACAATGCATAACACAATATTCACTATGCACAATATAAGGTTCATTTATTCTCAACTAAAAGTCTATAAGATTCTACTTTATCAGTAGGCTAGGCTTGACAAAATGCAGAAGTCACTACTACAGAATATATCTTTAGGAGCGGGTATTCAGGAGCGCTTCTTTAAAAAGTGCTCTAAAATGTGAATGCGGAATTTACTGGAGCGCTTTTCTAAATAAGCGCTCCTGTATGTCAGGGCTTCTCAATAAGATAACGCTCCTAATTAATATAAATAAAATATTGTAAAAAATTTAAAAAGACCTTCGGGAGCGCTCATAGTTAAGTGCTCCGGAAGATGAGCTCTTTCGGAGCGCTCATGGAATGAGCGCTCCGAAAGAGCTCATCTTTCGGAGCGCTCTTGGAATAAGCGCTCCGAAAGAGTTGATCTTTTATTTCTCTGCCTCTCATCAGTTTTCTTTTCCCTATTCATGAGTTTCTTTCAAACCTCTCTCTCATTTGCTGAGGTTGTGCGTTCCCAACGAGTTCCAGATCGTCACTGTTTCAGTCTATCTTCTATCGCTGTTCGCTGTTCCAGATCGTCGTCCGCCGCTGTTCGCTGTTCCAGATCATCGTTCGCCACTGTTCGCTGTTCCAAATCGTCGTCCACTACTATTTGTTGTTCCAGATTAGTGTTTGTCACTGTTCGTTCATTTCTGTGTCGACATGTCTCGCCATCTGTCTCTGTTTTTGCACTGTTGTCGCCGTCACCGCCATCTCCTGCATCACTATTCCAGATCTGCATGGCTGTTCCAGATCTGCGTCGCTGTTGTACACCGAAGGAAGCGATGCCGTGAAGACCTCCGTTGCAGCCGTGTGTCATTGCTGTACAGCTAAGGAAGCAACGCTGCAAAGACCTCCGCTACTGTCGTGAAGACTTCCGTTTTCTGCCGTGAAGACTACGCTGTGAAGGTATTTTTTTTAATAATTAATTTATAATGTAATATATTGATATATTTATATATATTTGAGAATAAATTTTATATATATTTTTTTAATAATCAATATTATAGATAATATATGAATTGGAGTTATTTATATTACAATTATGGAGTATTTGTAGTTGATAGTTAGATTAAAGTTGAGAAACCTACTTGAACATTTTTATTTTATTTATGAAATATACTTTTAAGGGAGATTATTGTTATTAATTAAATTACAATTGATTGACAGAATTTAGATGCATTATGCTACTAAATTTTTATTTGGATGAATTAATTTTTTTAGTTTAAATGTATTGTGTTGTGAAATTTGATTGTTTGATCATTTGGGAGGTTCTTCTTTTAAGGAAGATGTTATTGAATTTTTTTTATAGAAATCTAAGTCTTTTGTTTATTGAATTTTGATAATTATATTAGTGATATGGATCATAAGTGGATGTCGGCTAATCAACTATCTAGAGAATATTGGGATGGTGTGGATGAATTCATTGAATTTGCATTTTGTTGTGATCAATACCCCCTGGAGTCATTTGTCTTTGTTTGAAATGTTGCTATGGAAAAAGAGTAAAGCCAATAGAATTGAAAGATCATTTAATCTATAATGGGATTGATCCAACTTATACTTGTTGGACCATGCATGGGGAGACAAGGAATAATGCAAATGATTGGAGGGATAGTGCGAGCTACTCAACATTTGATCGTGATAGTGGGAAATATGATGTTGACCGTCTTGATGAAATGATTCATATATATAACTTCATCGCTGAAGTATTTTAAATTAAGTTAGAATTTATTTCTACCATATTTTGATAATGACATCTTTTATTGTTTTATAGGTACCTACACAATTACAAGGTTGGGAGTGTTGATATTATTTTTAAATTAGTTTTTGATATTATGATTTGCCATTGTTAAAGAGATGTAAAAGGAAAAATTTTAAAAAATCTGATTTAAAAAAAAATTAAAGTAATATACGGGAGTGCTCTTCCAGAAAGCGCTCCTATATGGTTCATACGGGAGCGCTCTTTATAAAAGCGCTCCGGTATGGTTGCATACGGGAGCGCTCTTGTAGAGAGCGCTCCCGTATGTGATGTGTGGGAGATCCCTTACGGGAGCGCTTTTCGAAAAGCGCTCCCGTATAGCGTATATACAGGAGCGCTTTTTTTAAGTTCTCCTATACATTTCGGAGCGTTCGATACGAGAGCGCTTCAAAAACACTCCCTAAAGTAAAAAAAAAGCGCTCCTGTAAACTTATTTTGTAGTAGTGAGTAAGCAAACAATGCACAATACAATATCCACTATGCACACCTTAAGATTCATATATTCTCAACGAAAAGTCCATATGATTCTACTTTATCAGTAGGCTAGGCTTAACAAAATGCACAAATAGACAAACAATGCATAACATAATATCCATTATGCATAATATAAGGTTCATTTATTCTCAACTAAAAGTCCATAAGATTTTACTTTATCAGTAGACTAGGCTTGACAAAATGCGCAAGTAAGCAAACAATGCACAACACAATATCCACCATGCACAACACAATCTTCATATATGTTAAACTAAAAGTCCATGTGTGTCCACTTTATCAGTTGGCTAGGCTTAACAAAAAGTTTCTCAAGTTTATGAACAATAAAAAGTCTATATATAACATGACAAGGTCCATTTATTAACAACACAATGTCCATCTATTTCACATGATTTGTGTGATTAAACTAAACATTTGAAAAAGTTTCTCAAGTTTATGAAGAACAAAAAGTTCGTATATAACATGAAAGTATCCATTTGCTGACAACACAATGTCCATATATTTACAATACAAGGTTTGTCGATATGATACACATAAATATCCGCACAAGTTAATTACAAAGTTTGCACAACGTAAACTCCATAAATAACAACATAAATTTCATAAACAACATCTACACCAGAACATTTATATCAGTTGCAGAAAAATATGTATTAAAAACAACAAAAAGTCCATAAATAATAACTTGTTTTCATTAAATGAACGTGAATGCGTACATTATGATTAGATAAAATTGATATGGCTTAAACTCTCTCTATATCCTTTTTTGACAAAATAAAACTGATAATGGCAGATGCAGCACTTGATCCATTCTTTCCACACTATGGTGGATCGTTTCAAGAAGCTGGTTGGCGTGAGAGGAATGTAATTGGACGAATGCCTGATCGTCTTCTCCATACCCATCTAGATAAAAGTGGATCACCCACTCATACCTGTTGAACGAAAAGGCTTCAAATGAGAGAAAGAAGGAAGAAGGAGGAAGGAGGAAGAAGAAGAGAGGGAATAGAGAAGTATGGTGGGGAGGAAAATGAATTTGGTTATTGTATCAGTGTTGAAAGAGGAAGAGAGAGAAGGAAGAGGGAGGAAGAACAGAGGGAGAAGAAGAAATTTTCGTTCAACAGCTGGTTATGAGAGGGACAAATTGGTCATTTCACCAGAAAATATAATTGCAAATGAGGCCTTTAGGCTCACAGAATAATTTCAAAATCTATTAGGCCTTATCTATAAAATTCTTACTTTTAAAGGTCTTTAGTGCCATTCTCCCTTCCTTTATTTGGCACCACTATATATACATTATACACGCAAGCTAGAGAACCTAAAGAAAATTCCAGGTTGGCACGATAACTTCAGGGTGAAATTTCAATAAGTCAAAGTCAATTTGTTTCCTGGTGCCGCTCCTCTCTAAGGACAACGTCTGGGATACGATGTATGGAAAATTAAAGGCCGGTGAGACAGCTCATTGCATCATTGGTTTAGAAACGACTAGGCCATCATGAGAGAACTACAGCGGTCCAAATCTCTGTAGGTTAAAAATATAAAAAATATATAACATATTTTAAATTTAAAAGTTAATTCTAAAATGATATAAATTAAACAGTATGTAAAATAATATCATAAAATGTTCGTAAAAATTCATTATATTCTCTTTTATAATTTATTACCTCTCTAAATATAAAAAACTTAAATTACATATTTTATTTTAAAATTTATTACATTCGTGCATATTAAAAAAACATTATTACCCTTCCTTTTATTTAACATTACTATTAACTTTATCTTAAAATTTAACGAGTTTTTACCTTTACCCCTAATAAATATTTTTAAATCTCATTACTAATATTTTTATTCAAAGCATTTAATAAGGGTAAAAATGTAAAAAAAGCATTAAAAATTGACAAGTACCTTATAAATAATCAAATTTTTTTTTCTTTTTCTGTCTTGTAAATAGGATTAGAGGAGTATACATAATACATACAAGCTAAAGAAAATTCCAAGTTTGTCCCTCCAAGGACATCCAATAAAATTGGAAAGATGTCGAGAAGATTAGCATGACCCTTACACAAGGACGACACGCACAAATCAAGAAAGAAAATTCTAGGTTGGCATGATAAATTTAGAGTGAAATTTGTGTAAGTCAAATATGATGGCATCAACTAACATGCATTTAGGCTTTTAAATCTTTTATTCATTTTCTATATGATATGAGACCTTGATTTAATTTATGTTAAATTTTAAAGTTAAATTATAATGTTAAATATTATAATATTGAATAATATTATTTTTTAGAAGAACAACATTAAATTATAATATTAACTTTTTTATTTTTTTAAAATCAAATTTTTAGGCCCGACCTTGAACCTTTTCAATAAAGGTTGGGCCTCAAAATTTAAAAAATGGGCTTCAAGGCTTAGGCCCTTAAGGGCTAGGCCCTAAAGGGTTGGGCCTGCCCATATTTTCATCTCTACTAAGATATTTTATATAAGTGTCTTAATTATAATTAAAATTTTAATGTATTATTTTTTTTAAAAAAGTTATGTAATAAATAAAATAGGGATATAGTTGTAAAAATAATTATAAAAATTATTAGATGATGTATATTTTAGATCAAGTATGGCTTTAAAAAATGCCCTATATTATAGTTTGGAGGAAGTATTCCAAGGTCTTTAAAGAGGGCAATACATACACAACAACTACGAAATTAAAATTAAGAACAAGGGATCTTTCTTGCACAATAAATTACAATCTCCAAGAAATTCTAGTTCTATTGGAATTAATTTCTTAACCGGACAAGATTGAAATAATGCTTGTTGCCAACAAGAGTATCTTCTACTCATAGATTAGCATTTGTCCAATTCATAGCACCATTAAACCTCCTTTTAATTTGAACCAATCTCAAGTGAAGAACAAATGTTTCATCGTCTCATTTCTTTTAACATTAGTTCTGATGATTAAAAAGATGCCAACCTCTCTTTCGCAAGGAACCTGTGATCAACGATAAGCAACCTGTACATTAAATCATAAGTGCCCCACGAAAGGGATATTAGGCTAACAATACTTCCTAGTTCCTACTCATATAAATTAAGCCCGCCCTCCAACTCCCAAACACAACTTGATCACTACAATACAGCAAAGATAGCGTCTCCATAGAATTCAACAGATCACATGGAGAGGGCGCATCAATGGATTCTATGGTTCGCCTTTATCCAACTTTTGCTTATGCTAGATGGAAGGAAACTCTTCACCAGCGACGTTAACGCTCACGATGGTAAGCTAAGCACACAAATTATTAGCTACAGCTTATTTTACACTTGGTCAACAAGCTTTCTATCAATATGAAACAAACTATGTTTTTTGTAGTTCTGCAATAAATCTAAATTTGTGTCAACTTTTGCGCACACAGATTGGATAAGCATCGACTGTGGAGCAAGCATTGGATACACTGACCCAGAAACAGAAATCTCGTATCAGACGGACACAGGCTTCGTAGAAACGGGAGAAATTAATATGGTGGCAGCTGAAGAAAGATTTGACGTAGATTTTCCTTATTTTGGGAGACAACTAAAGACACTGAGGAGTTTCCCAAAAGGAAAAAGAAATTGCTACACCCTAAATCCAAAACAGGGCAAAAACAGCAATTACCTCGTTAGAGCTTTCTTCGCTTATGGAAATTATGATGGCAAAAATAAAACTCCAACTTTTGACTTGTACCTCGGCGTCAATTATTGGACAAATGTTAATCCGGGAGATGGCTATCAAAAAACAGAAATTATCCATACTCCCACAACTGACACCATACATGTTTGCCTTCTTAAGACTTCCGAAGACATACCTATCATTTCTACATTGGAAATACGACCTCTCCACAATGATATTTATCTAACTCCATCCCCTTCTCAATCACTATTAGTCCTTGATGAGAGAATTGATGTTGGCTCCATTCCGTCGACTTCAACCCTGTTCAGAAGGTGATTCTAACTTTATATTATCTAGCTTGTGTATTTTCATGTTTTAATTTCCTAATGTGCTGAAGATATTCTCAAATTCATTCATCTAATAATGTTGCAAGCATATAGATTTCGAGATGACATCTATGATCGTGTGTGGCGTGTGGACGATATTTTTGAAGATGAAGGTTGGCAACGGTTCAATAGATCTGTCGATATTGATCGCAGAAGCATAAATGATTCTTATAAATTACCGCTAAATGTGATGTTATCTGCAACCCAACCATTGAATCTCTCCGCTCCTTTATACCTTGACTATGACTCTTTCTGGACCGAGCCAACTGAAAGATCTTTCAGATATTTTGTCTACTTTCACTTTGTTGAAATTGAGCGGCTTCCCCATGGAAAGAAGAGAGTCATCGATGTTACTGTTAATGATGAATATATCCTCCGAGAGAGAACTCTTGAATACTTGAAGCCGGTGGCGGTTACTGATGTTACGAAACAAGACGGTCTTAGTTTTAGCATAAGTGCAACAGCAGAATCTGATCCTCCTCCAATTCTTAATGCCCTTGAGGTTTATAAGTTAATATCAGAGCTAGCATCCCCAACTAACCAAAAAGATGGTATGTATACATATATGCATATGTATTCTTCGATCAACTGTTTTGTGAGTGGGTGTGTGTGAAAACAGTAGTAGATGAGAACCTATTTATTGTTTTTGAAAATAGTGGATGCCATTTTGGACATTAAAAACACATACAAAATAGTAGATTGTCAAGGTGACCCATGTGTTCCGGTGAACCATGCTTGGGAGAGACTTAAGTGCAGTTATGGCATTGATTACTCCAACGCAAGGATCACCTCACTGTAAGTATTTCATTTCTTGAATTAAAGTACATATTCCTTAAAGGATTACGAACTAGAGATCGATCAGTTCCACTCATTCAAGAATGTTGCAATGTTTGACACTTAAATGTAAATTAAAACAGGCTTGTCTCAGTTGACCAATAAAAAAGGCTTGTCTGGGGTCAAGCTGATGTTATTTCAAATGTATCAAATACTATTAATTAAGCTATATATTTCACAAAACTTCATAATCTCATGCCTTACTAAGTATATATTAATAATGATCACAAGCAGAAACATGAGCTCGTGCAAGTTAACAGGACAAATAGTTGCTTCATTTTCACAACTCATGGAGTTGGAGTCCTTGTAAGTATAAGATGAGTTAATTGATTAGAACAAAAATATTTAGTATAAGAATTTTGTCATCTAAAATATTGTTTTGTTGTAGGGATTTATCAAGTAATGACTTGTCAGGACCAGTACCTGAATTTCTAGCTGAATTACCAAAGTTGAGAATCCTGTAAGTTTTCATATAGATGCTATACAATAACTTGAGGATCACATGATAATTAATTGAATGCATTTCACAATGTTTTTTTGCAGTAATTTGAGTGGCAACAGGCTCGAGGGTTCAATTCCCAAGGCTCTTAAAGAAAAGTCTGATTTGGAAATGAGGTTTCTCATCTTGATATGTCCTCTAGTTGCTCAGCCATGACTGTCCCTTTTTTCTTGAATTAAAATAAAACCAGTTGATCAATTTTTTTTTTTGGTGATAATATAGTTTCACTGTTTCTTGACTCTTTTATTTTAGGGTACCGGAAAAGATTCATAATTAAGCATTTCATGAAACTAAATAAAGCTACAAAGTTATTTGTAAGAGGCTGACTAATTATTTGACTTATCTTCCAGTTTGGACGGTAATCCCAGCCTATGTTTGAAGCAACCATGCAGAAAGCAAAAGTTCCTTATTCCACTTATAGCATCTGTTTCGATTTTGACGGTTCTAATTATCTTGATTTCTCTTGGAATTTGGGTGTTCAAAATGAAAAAACTGAAAGGTATATGCTATACCCACAAAATACTTCTTGTTTGTATTATTATTATTATTATTATGTGCATTATAACTTGTTTTTTAGCAGCAAGCAAAAAATAAAATAAAAAATAAACTTAATAGATGAAATATATTTATTATGCCACTGAATTAAAAAATATAAAGCATAAGTATTTATAATTATTAATAATAATAAGAATAAAATAGACATATATTTATACACACGTACTTTCGAGGAAAGAGATACAATCATTGTCCTTCAAGGTAATCAAACAAGCCCTGATACCTTGTAAACTTTCCTTATTAATATTTATAATTATAGCACTCCCAACTGGCATTTCCGATTGTCCTTATTAATATTTGCAGTGGATTCTACCGTCTCAACAAAGCAAGCATCAGAACCAAGAAATCGTGCTTTTTCTTATTCCGACGTCCTTGAGATGACAAATAACTTACAAAACTTGATTGGAGAAGGTGGATTTGGAAAAGTTTATTTAGGAACCCTTAAGAATAGCACTCAAGTTGCAGTGAAGTTACTTTCTCATTTATCAGTGCAAGGTCATAGAGAATTTCGATCAGAGGTGAAGGCGAAATCTAATCTAATAGTCTTTATTATTTTCTTTAATTTACTCTTGGTTGCCTTATTTATTTGTTAGATATTTATTTAGAAACATAATTTGCTCTGTATTAGTTCTTTAATTATCATATAAATGATAAAGTTAAATTTGTATTGCAGGTAGAACTTTTGATGGTGATTCATCACAGACACTTAGTTTCTCTGATTGGATATTGCGAACAAAGAGGCGTCAGGGCATTAATATATGAATATATGGTTAATGGGAACCTCCACCATCATTTATCAAGTAGATAATCTCTATTTCTAGAGCCTGATTACACAAATATCAAATTCTAAATATTTAGCATTTAATTTCATAGCAATCTAACCAATATATCAGTATTAAAATATCTATAATAAAATTTATAACATCCGTAATAAATACTGTGATTTTTTTCTTAAATGTCAAGGAATACACAATAAAATATATCTATTAATATATTAGGGTAAAAAATGTATGGTAAATTGGTTCTTTTTAATAAATTACCATATATTTACTATTTATTTTATTTCCTTGGATTGTATATATAAATTTCAAAGCTAAGATGCTTATTTGTTTCCAATTAAATCAAGACATATAAAATCATTTATTGATTATTTGTTTTATAACAAACTCTAGTTATTAATATTATTAACATATTAAAGTCTTCTTGTCTTGATTTAATCAGACAAAAGTAATATTAAGTATATAAGTCTTATTCTACATTGACTGGATTTAAGTGCAAATAAAAAAATATTTTTTAGGAAAACAATTTAATAATAAGTAATTTTTGTTATAAGCTATGAAGAGTGCATCTTATTTTAAGCCCCGTATATATGTAATGCATAGCAAAATGTACCTGATTGTTATGAACTTGTACTGTACACTTGCTATTCTTTTCTTGTTACTTATTTGCTATTCATTATATATATATTGTATTAGACTTGTGTATGAATTTCAATGATGTTCACAGACGAATAAAAATTTACCTAATCATTCTCACCAAACAAACATGAGAAAATATATGATGAGCCATTTTGATGATAACGACAGCAAACAAGCATACATGCATTTTCCAGCCACAAATACAATATTTGGAGTTCATTATTGCATTGAAAAACTTTTGAGGGCATATGTGAAAGAAATCTAATCATACTGATTCTACAGGTAATAAAGGAGGTGGTTTGAAATGGAAAGATAGGCTTCAAATTGCATTGGATGCAGCGTATGGTAAGGAAAATTATGTATATTAACGTATTGTAGGATTCTTTCAAGCTATACAGAAAAATTGACATATTTTAAATAAATTGTATATGATATTCTAATTCTATGAAAAACAAATAATTTACATTTACTAACAATTTCGTTTTCAAATGACTTAAAATACTAATTAAAAATTATATTGTACATTCTTTACGAATTGCGCAAACTGGAATTTGGATTCATTCTTCTCTGACATTAGTCTTGGCAACACAAATATATATAATTTGGTCATGCATAAAATGATTGCAGGATTGGATTATTTGCATAATGGTTGTAAGCCTGCAATTGTGCATAGAGACCTTAAGGCCTCCAACATTTTGCTAGACAAAAATATGAAAGCTAAGATTGCTGATTTTGGATTGTCTAGAGCTTTTGCAAATGATATTGATAGTCATGTTTCAACTCGTCCGGCTGGGACATTTGGTTACCTTGATCCTCAGAGTATTTTTATTTATAGAATATATATTTTCTTATCAACACATTGTTATAGTGTGATCCACATAATCGAGTCTACCTAATAGAATAAGCATGGTTATTATTGTTGTAGTATATTTTCTCATCAGTTAAGAAGCCCATCAAATCAGTTTAAGATTGCAAATAAGATAATGAATTCATTTCAAAGAGAATTGTAATGAACACTAATTTAAATTGGAGTACGAATTAACCTCAGTTTAGTACATCAACTAAAGTTTTCTTTAGGAAAAACTCTAATAGCGACGAAGAACATTCTCTCACTGAAATAAACTAATTCTTTTGAATCTTTCTAGCTCAATTTGGATGTATGATTGAATACAAATATATTAATAGAGAGATATTTGAGATATAACAATTATTCTTTTTCCTTTTAACAGATTTCAAAATTCTGGAAACCTTACAAAAGGGAGCGATGTTTATAGTTTCGGAATAATTTTGCTAGAACTTGTGACCGGAAAACCAGCAGCAAAGAGACAACGAAACAATACCTTCATTCTCCTACTTGAATGGGTCGCCCCTAAACTTGATAGCAAGGATAATATCCAGTCCATTGTTGATCCAAGGTTACAAGGACATTACAGTGATGATTCTGCTTGGAAATTTCTTGAGATTGCCATGTCATGCACTGCACCGTTGGCAAGTCAGAGGCCTGATATAAGTCAAGTTGTCGTTGAACTAAGGGAATGTTTGGCAATGGAAACAAGCATGGAAGAGACCAGTCACAACACCAATTCAAGCAGTTCATTGGATAAGAGTGTTTTGCAATATGATTCAAGCTTTAGTGCTCCATATGCTAGATAGAAATCCTTTTTTTATTCGTGCATATAATGGGAGTGTGTGTAATAGCAAGAACAATAGGTTGTGTTGTACTTGCTTTTTACTCAAATTGTGAACAATGTTGATGTAATAAATCATCTTTAATTATCTTTAATGCTAAATCACTACCACTATGTTATATATGTTGATTAGTTTTATTAGAACATTTTCACCTTTAAATATTAGTGCTCAAAGTAAGCTCAAGTTTTCGTCATATATATCTCACCAATTAATATTGACAGGAGGGATGAGCAGAAATTAAAAAGTGAAAGGAGGGGGTGCGAGGAAAAAAAAAGGGTTAGGTATTGTAATTAGATCATAAGAAAATTCGTGCATAATATTATTTATACTTCATGGAGATGCTAGTGCAATATCATGTGCTTTGACTTACCTAGAGTGATTTTTGGTAATCATGATTTAGTTGTGATCAACATCCACGTTCAAGATAGTTTGATACATATTTATTCATATTCAACATCATCATTATGTATTGTACGTTTCCTTGAGAGGTAATTTTTATTAAGACCATGGAATTAATAATCATTCATGTATAATGATATTTGTGTTAAATGCTTTCCATGCCATGCATGGGGGAGTTCATAACAAATGATAAATCATATTTTTGTTTTGTGTAAGTGATATATTTGATTCATATGAGCAATACAAAGAGCATTTTTCATCATTGAGAAAATTGCAGAATTTAATGTAAGTTTTTTTAATGCAATTTATTTATTGATGCTTTTTGTAAATTTTCCTTTCATTTTATATTTAAAGAAGTTCATTTTTTTTAGTTCCTTCATATTTATAGCATTGTAAATGCAATGATATGGTTAGATACTTATAATGATCATATTTATGTAACATTTATTTTTTAAACTCTTTTATTTGAGTATAATATAAATGCATGTTTTCTGGGCATTATGGGGGAGTAAATTTTTAGGGTAGAAAGAGATTTTTTATTTTGTTCTTTTTCAAAGTTACATTGTTAAATTTTTATCAAAAAAATCCTCCTTTTTCATGGCTTCCATTGAATGTTGGAAAGATAAAATGTACTGTTAAAATATGTTTATTTAATGATGATAAAGTTAAAAAAAATATTAAATTTTTGGGTCAAGTTAATGTGTTGTAATATTTTTCTTGATTTCAATAAAGCATATTGAAAATGACTTATAAATAAAATTAAAACAGTATTTTCTTGAGTAAATTTTATTGTCCCATTTTGACAGTCTTAAACGGTCATTAGTTGATCTCACTATGTTTACGTGGCATACCAGGAGAGCATCCACCTCATTTTTTACTTCAGTGGCAATGCCTATGTGGCATCCAAAATGAGAAGCTTCTGCAAAAGGTCGGGAAGAAGATTCAACGAAGGAGAAGATGAATACTATCATCAGGTATAAAAGCAAAAATAGATTGATCTATGGCAAAACTAAATCAGAAAGTTAAATCCACCAATACACATACACTAGCTCATCCAGAAATAGATTTAGGTCCCGTTGTTAAAAAAAAAAAAGAATGGAACAGATTAAAAAAATAAAAGTAAAAATATGATGATCAAAATATAAAAGGATACAAGTGAACTATATTTATAAGGGAGAATAGAAATTTAGTTTATAAGGTTGAGATTCATGATCCATGAGTTTTTTGAAGGTTGTGATAATTCTCACATTTATAACATATAGTATTAAGTTTTATTATATTTATCATAAAAAAAGAGTAATTTAGTTTATTTTTATTTTAATTTTTTCAATTCATTTAATTTTCATTCTTTCTATAAAATTTTAGAGGCTTAGATGTTTCATTCCCTCTATCACATAATCATTGTCATGCCCTAACATGCTTGCCATGTTCAAACCACGTGCTCCCTTCCATTCTTGGGGCTCAAGATGCCCAATAACTTTAGGAGAAACAGTTAACCAAATTACCCCCTTTCTCTTCAAAGTATCAATATTTTTTTCACTAATTTTAATTAAAAATATAAATAATTTAGCACATGTAAATTTTTTTCATTTTATTTTTTATATTTATTAACTTAAATCATTATGTTAATTTATTTATAATTTATTATAAAGTACATTGGTAATTAAGATTAAGAGTAAAAAAATAAAATATGTTTTTATAAAAATGAAGATTTTATTGATATGTGAATTTTTTAAAAATTACTTGTATTTTGAACAGTAAAATATGAAACTGTCAAACAAAAATTTATTTAAGTTAAAAAAACATGTTTTGGAAATTACATGCTGACTCAAAAGACCTCAAAAGTCGATTTGAGTCAAAGCCTGAAGAATCATTGATGTAAGCTTTGCCGTGTATGAGGACAAGAACTTCACGAACAACTATTCCAAAGGCCAGAATATTTCGTGAACTTCACGAACAACTAGCGATTCATTGTTTAAATAATCCCCTCTCTTTATATATAAGATATTTTTAATCAAATCACATAAATTAATAAAATTGGTTATCTACTTAAAAGAACAATAATATTTTAATTTTGTCCCTAATTATTGTAAATAAAAAAATAAATTTATTTTTTTAAAGTAAATTTATGAGTACTTTTCTTTTTTCCCTTTTCCTTTTCTAATATAATAAAGATATAATGGTCTATTTATTAAAAAATATGCTAACAACCTTGTATATTTAGGAGGGAAATGGTTTTAGAAAACGTATATGTCAAAATTGGATGATGATGCTTTGTTTTTAAAAGATTGAGGACAACATAGGCCTTTTCTTTAATTAATGATATCATATGTCCTTGGCATGATATTTCAAGGATAAATTTGTACCTTAACCTAATTTTAAAATAAATTTTTGTTGTTTATTTATTTAAATCAAATCTTTATAATTTTATCAATTAAAATATGTTGATCCCATAATATTAAAAATTATTAATTGATTAACTTTTTCAAAAACAAAAAACATTTTTTAATTTACGGAAAATTAAACCGTCAATCCTTATAATTTGATCTAATTTATAATCAGGTCCCTGTAATTTTTTTCTTCTATTTATTGGGTCCTTGTAGTTTCTTTCTTCATAGCCACTAGATAAATATAATTCTGCTAGTTTCAGAGGATGTCTAAGGCTGCTGAGATGGCTGACAACTCATATAGTACACATGGATTAAAATTGCCACAGACTTGAATTAAAAAAAAAAAAAAGCAATTAGGAAACAAACAGGCTTCGGTGGTGAAAACATTGAGAATGTAAAGATCTGTACAAAACATAAAAGTAAATCTGAAAACGATAATAAAGAGGAAGGAAATCTCAAAGTTTGTACAAAACATATGGAGATTTAATTTGAAGAAGTCAAACAAGATGGGAAGTATCTTTGAGAGGAACAAGTATCTCAACTCTCAAGGAGAAGGAGTCATGCTCCTAGTGTCTAAAGCAGAATCTTGCTTCCTTCGCCTCAAGTTTAATACTTTTGGCAGAAAATTAAAAAAATTAATTTAATACAATGTTTACATTTTTATTAATTTTTTTTATAAAAACTATTTTAAAAGACATAACCTAATTATATAAATTTTGAGAGTTATAAAAATTATGTCATTAAAAGCCTAATGAAAATATGAAAGTTCTTAACTTTATTTTTAAAAAGTTAAAAATTTAAGGATTTTGATCTTTATAGATTAATAAATCTAACATGTTAAAAATATATGGACTCAATTAAATTAAAATAAATTGTGAGGATCTAGTTTAAAATTAAAAAAAAACTATGAGGATTTATAGATTAATTTTTTCAAGAATATACTCCCTCCCTTTCAAATAAAAAAGAAACTACCATGTGTTTCTTTGTTTATTTTTATATAAGTTAAACTACAAATTTCAAGTAGCATTTATCAATTTTTTTTAAATTGTCTCTCGCAACATCAATGTTTATCTTCACTAGATAAATTCATTAATTATAGGGGTAATTTAGTCCAAATTTTTTAATTTCAGACATAATTATTAATTTATTATACTTAACCAACTTTCTTAAATTATGTGAGTCGGTTATTTTCTCTTATATTTAAAAGAGGCTTTTGTAAATATAACCCATATTATAGAACCAAACCAAATAAATAACTTAATATTTGTTATATTTTGCATCATCACGCTTTTACTATATTTATCAATGATATACTGTTGTATATTAATGATAAATTCTCTGTAAATTTTTAAATTTTCAATGACAAATCCCTTATATATGAATGATAAATTCCTTGTATGTCCATGTACATCAGCCACATGTCCAAATTTTAAAAATTTTAATCTATATTTTTTGGGTATAAGATTTTTTTCGCCCCACCTATTTGAAAATAGAGGGAGTATAAAACTCATTGATTAGAAAGGACTCGGCCAAGACCAAATTTAGGCGAAAATATGCTTAATTTCCGACAGCTGTTTGATGGTACTTAAACTTGTAAATGTAGGAACTTGATTAGGTTGGTTAAAAGGTAAAAAACAGAAAGAAGAACATGATCGGAATTAGTATTAAGAAAGCTGAACTGGTAATTTTAAACATTTATTAAGGGTATTTTAAGAAAAATATTTTAGCAATTTTTGAAACTTGTAGAGTGTCTTGTAAATAGAGGCACCACCAACTTTAAAAATTTGGATTAATGAGCAAATAGGATCCTGAACTATTACTCAAAAATCAACCTGGACTCTAAACTCTTAAAATATACAAAATAAATCTTAAACTTTTAAATTTAAAGGAAAATAAACTATGACTGTTAACTTTTTAACACTGTTATTGTTCACACAGGTATTGTTCAGGGTTTATTTTCTATAAATTTAACCCTGACTGTTACAGAACCCATGTGGATAGTAACGGTATTAAAAAAATTAACGGTCAGGGTTTATTTTACTATGAATTTAAAAGTTTAAGATTTATTTTGTATATTTTAATAGTTCAGGATCTAGAGCGATTTTCAAGCAAAAGTTTAGGGTCCTATTTGCTCATTAATCCTAAAATTTTTGTCTTAAAATTAGAGATTGATAA